TGGGTATCATTGCTGACGCTGCTGTCCGCTCTCTGGGTAAGCCCCGCCCTGGAAGGGGACCTCCCAACCCCCAGAGCTGCTTCCCTCCAGCCCTTTGAAGCTGGACATAAGAAAAGCAGCTGAGGTAGGGTCTTGTGATGGCCCAGAGCTTGGGCTGGGCAGTCAAATGAGCCTGAGTTAGATTGTCACTCTGCCACCTAATTGCTGCGAGCAGTGAGCCTGCTCCTTGTCTGTAGAGAGGGGTGAAAATAGTACCTGCCTCATAGGTTGTTGTGAGGATTAAATGAGACTAAACATACATGATACCTTTAGCACCGTGCCTGGCACCTGTAAGAGCTCATTAAACAAGACCTACCCCTATAGAAGGGACATTGCCAGGGAATGTGGCAATTTAGGGCATTATGGAGGAATACCCTGAGCAGATCTGACCATCTCCCTACTGACCTTGGAGCCCCAGCTTCCAAAGTCCTTGTTTTTCTCTTCTATTTGTTTATCTGATGCTGGGGGAAGTGGGGAAGTACTACCCTTCCCACCTTCCCTCATGGACATGCATGCTTTGGTGTTGCAGAGGGCCGTGGGGTAAAGGTTGCCCGTGCCCTGGTGGGCACCTTCATGTCAGCCCTGGAGATGCCTGGCCTTTCTATCACCCTCTTGCTAGTGGATGAGCCCCACCTGAAACTGATAGGTGAGACCTAAAACCTGGGGTCACCCAAGCCAGGGCTCCTTGTAGGTGGAAGGAACCAGGGGGACTTGGGGAGACCCCATCAGGGCTGACCGTGACAGTCAGGCCTCCGTGGAAAGACCCTTTCTTTTTCAGCCTTCTCCAGCTCTTACATGACTGGAGGAGTTGCTATTAGGTTCCTCCCTGAGGACAGCCCCCCTTCCCTTGTATACAGTAGGTACTCAGTACTTGCTTTTTAAGATAGAGGGAACTGGGCCACCAGGTGGGGAATCCAGGCCCCACTTGATCCCTGGCCAGCCAACAATGTCTAAGATTAGAGTCTTCCTGCTGTCACTAGATGCTGAAACCACCGCATCAGCCTGGCCTAACATCCCCAGAGTCGCTGTGACTGGGCGGAAGCGAACCCGGGCAGCCCCCACCGAGCCCCCAGAGGCCCATGATTCCACTGCTGTAGGAGGTACCAAACCCTGCTGTTGGGGCAGGTGGCTCAGGCATTGTCCTGAGTCCTGAAGGGTGAGGGGTGTGTAGGGGCCCTAACACTCACATATCCCACACCTTCAAGTTCAGCTATGAGAAGGGCCAGGTACATCTCTTCCCTGCTGTCTCTCCCTCCAGGCTCAGCCTCGAAGCGGACGGCGCTTGTGCTGGAACGTGTGTGCAGTACTCTCCTGGGCCTGGAGGAACATCTGAATGCCCTGGACCGTGCTGCCGGCGATGGCGACTGTGGCACCACCCACAGTCGCGCTGCCAGAGGTTGGTGCCAGGGCCCCTCTGGGGTGAGGAGAGGGGCTGCTGTCACATTGATTCTGAGATTTTGGCATTTCATGAACCAGAACAATTTCAAAACCATTTGGAGTGCTGACATGGGCTCCCGACTTTTATTTTGCTAAGCACTGTCATTCACAAAACCTAGCACCCCCTCCGCCTATTTTCATAGAGAAAAGGTCCTTCAAACACTACAAATGTGGGAAGGTAGTCATTTTAGAACAAAATGTAATCTTTTGCAGTGAATAATAACTTTAGATTCAAAGAGAACTCGCTCTGTAGTCCTTATTTTTCTCGGCTTACCTGGACTGGTTAATGGCTCTTAATTGTCTAGCACCAGTCAAGCAAAAAAAATGTATTTAGCGCCTCTGGGCCAGGCAACTCTGTGGATACAACAGTAAGCAAAGCAGACAAAAATCACTGCCCTCGTGACTCATGTTCTGGCCAGGAGACAAACAATAAACAATCAGTAAAAGATGAAGGATGGTAGTGCTAAGGGCTGAGGAGGGGACTGAAGCAGGGAAGCAGGGTAAGGAGTGTCAGGTGAGGGTGTTCAGGCAGGCCACACTGCTGGGTGACTGCGAGGACCCTGTCAGTCACCACTCCTCAACCCTCTCCACATAGCACACTGGATATAAAAAGGGAACCCTGGGTTCTCTTTCTTAATGTGGGTTCCCTTGGCCTCTTCTGGGGCCCATTCCTTCTGCCTGGCAGTGGGATCTGGGCATTTGTTGGGAGGGAGGGTCTCTGAATTCCTCACCATCTCTGTGCCTACAGCGATCCAGGGGTGGCTGAAGGAGGGTCCACTCCCTGCCAGCCCTTCCCTGGTTCTCTCCAAATTGTCCTTCCTGCTCCTGGAGAAGATGGGAGGCTCATCTGGGGCAGTAAGTGCTGGCAGTTCCCTGGGCGGAGGGCTGATGCAGAAATCCCTGGTTGGTTGAGGCCTAGCCAGACCTGAGTGTTCAATTCTGGTCCTCCCAGCTCTATGGCCTGTTCCTGACTGCAGCAGCCCAGCCACTCAAGGCCAAGACTGACCTCCCAGCCTGGTCTGCTGCCATGGATGCTGGCCTGGAGGCCATGCAGAAGTGAGCCAGAGCCCTGTGCCTTAGACCAAGGGTGGGCTGGGGAGGTGGTGGATGTCACCTGCTCCCAGCCAAGCCCTGTCCCCACCCCCAAAGGGATTCCTTGCAGTGAACCCCATTTGTTCTCTTCCCTTACAGGTATGGAAAGGCTGCCCCTGGGGACAGGACTATGGTGTGTATGGGCCCAGCCCTTCCCCCTTTTGATTATAGAGGCCCTGAAGGCCACCCCCAATGGCAGGGCCTGTGCTCAGCTCCCCTCTCCCTCACCTTGTCCAGCTGGATTCTCTGTGGGCAGCAGGACAGGAGCTCCAAGCCTGGAAGAGCCCGGGGGCTGATCTGGTCCAAGTTCTGACCAAAGCAGTCAAGGTGAGCGAAGCTTGGCCCAGTTACCCAGGGAGCAAGTTAATGTCCTTCCTGGACCTACATTTTCTCCTCTAAAAATGGAGATGAGTGCCTATCTCAGAGGGTGTGGTCAGGCTAAAGAGATGAATAGAGCCCCAGCGTGATATCTGGGACCCTCAGTAAATGGGGTCCCTTGCCCTGCTAGAGACAGGTGGGAGGTCACCTCTCTACCCTGGTGACAGTACAGACGGCTCTGGCAGAACTGGGACAGGAGGGAGGCCTGATGGCTTGTCCTTAAATCTGCTCCTCCCCATCTTCCCTCAGAGCGCAGAAGCTGCAGCCCAGGACACCAAGAACATGGACGCTGGAGCAGGAAGAGCCAGTTATATCAGTTCTGCGAAGCTGGACCAGCCAGACCCCGGGGCAGTGGCAGCCGCAGCCATTCTCCGAGCCATCCTGGAGGTCTTGCAGAGCTAGGGTGCGTGAATGCCTCTCTGAGCCTCTGCGTCTCTCTTACTGCTGTGCAGAGGCGGCCACTGTCACTTCCTTCTGTCTTCCAGTTGTCACCCTCCCTTGCCTCTCAGGCCCATCCTCTGAGTTCAGCAGGGATCCCCTACCAACCTCCAGAATGACTCCAGTGTAGAAACTGCAGGCCCGGAGTGGGTCACCTGCCTGCTCAGCACTGCCCTTTACCTTCTCAGGGAGGGGAGGGTCCTGGGATCAACCCACTCTGCCCCCAGCCAACTCTGGGCTTCGGCAGTGAGGCATTTCCCCTGGGGGGCAGCACAGCCTTTAACTGGCATTGCTGACTTGGTTTTAAGAATTTCCGGGAAAGGCCTTCTGCACCTGAATCCGAGCCAGTGTGGAAAAGCAAGCTAATAAACCACATTGAAGCAACAGAGCTTCTGCTTCCTCTGAGGGACCTTTCTCCAAGTGTGTGAACAAGTTGCCCAACTGCTGCCCCGGGGACTGTGACCTCAGCCCCTGGTTGAGATGATCATGACCCATCTCCTACCACCTGAGACCTAAAGGCTACGTCTGCACAGCTGGGCTGGCTCCACTGGGATCCTCAATCCTGTCCTCCTGATACACACTCCACACACAATGGTGTGCTTTTCTCAGCATTAAACTAACAGAACCCACTGATTCTTCAGGATTCAAATGGGCAAGCAGGACACCAAGAGGAAAAGAAATCACCATATCATAAGGCTCAGTGGTAGAATAGAAACTGTGCCCAGGCCAGCCCCCTGGTCTCTATAGCAGTCACTGGTGGCACCGCCGAGTCTGGTGCATGGTGGACAGGACAGCACACACCCGACCCATACTCGGTGCAGGGGAGTGGTTACAGGGACTCTTGTGGACTCATGGGCATGGCTTAGGATCCTCGTTCTGCTTCGAAGCAGCTCCGTAAACTCAGGCCCATTATTTGGCCCCTTGGAATCTGGAAAATCAGAATGGTACCCATCTTATGGGGATGGGTGTGGAAAGGGATTCAGATGAACTGATGGTGAAGCCCCTAGCACACTCCAGGGCCTCACTCACTGTGAATCACCATTATCACTGGTGTCTGCATCTAAGTCCTTCCAGGTCATCTGCTCCACCACCAGGGGGCATCCACAGGTGGTCACACTGGCAGGGGGGCCCCCATCACTCACTTTGCCCCAACTTGGCTTTAGGCTCCCTCAATCCCTGGGCTTCTCTGCCCGGGGTCCCCTGTCCACCAGCCACCCCACGGGTCCCCGAGCACAGGCGCAGTTATCAGTGTGCACAGACACACACACCCAGCAGCTGGGGAGGAGACTGGCATCAGACACCTGGCATGTAGATCCCAACTCTGCCATTTCCTGGTTGGGTAACCTCAGGCAAGTCACTTATCCTTGTTTTCCAGATTATACAACAGGAAACATTTCCTTCCTGGTGAAATAACGAAGTGCTCAAAGGCCATTCCCTATTAGGGACATCCACATATATCAGGAGTAGCATGTGACTCCAAGAAGACAATCATGTGGATCTTTGGTGCCTTCTGTCTTGTCCCTCTTAAGGTCTCAGGGTCAGAACTGTCCTAAGCCTTTCCCACGTTGCCCAGAGCTCATTTAACCACTATCTCATTTCAGCAGAAAAGGCTTTGATTCTTAAAAACATATTTAATGAAAATCAGGCTTCATAAACACGTGAAATGCCTACCCATGTGGTAAGGGGGGTGGTCATGTGACCGAGCTGCCTGACAGTCATCCCAATGGCTTTGGAGCCTTCAGTCACTAGAGAGGTTCAGGCATAGTCCTCCTGCCAGCATCTGGCCATGTGGGGTTGAAGTGGCCAGTCATTGCCACTGGCCAGAGAGTAAGCACACTTGAGAACCTAGGCATCATGCTGCTTGCTAACTAAGCACAGCAGTGTGGCGCCTGGCACCCAGGACTCATTTGGAGGAGGCAGGAAAAGCCATAGCACCAACACGTAGGAGAGGAGTCAGACTCCTCTCTCCCCACCGGTTTCTCCACAGGAAGAGAGCTGCAGCTGGAACTCTGGCATGATGCACAAGACAGGCTTTGGCCGTGCAAACAGCCATTGTCGGGGGTAGGTGAGGCACTCTGATGCTCAGCAAAAAACGTCTTTGAAGGTGGCCATGGTTTCTAGGCTCTGCTGACTACAAAGCACCACAACTTTGGCACGTGTCATGGTGGGCCGGAGTGTGCAAATTAGCTGGGCTAGGGCCTTGCCAAGAGAGCAAGGTTGAACCTGCCCGAGATAGACAGGGAAGCCCTAATCTGGTGAAGGAAAGTAAAGGTAGTCTGAGGCCACCCCTGCTACTGAGACCTGTTGGGGCAGCTGGGGACAGCAGGTTACCAGGGCTCGTTGGGCTGCCTGAGAGTGACAGGCATGTAAGTCACAAGGAAAGGCTGGGACCCAGGTCCCAGCTGTAGCAGCAGCTAGAAGAGATGGAGACACACAGTCACAATGGACTCAGACATAGAAGGCAGAGAGATAAAACAAGTGAAGAGCAGTCTGTGCCTCAGCTTCTCTGCAGAAACCTCACGTTGGGTTGGGCCAGAGGGAGGTAACAGAGCAGAGGAAACCCATCCCATGGTGGGCGCCTAAATGAAATGCACACATTCAAAGGGAAAGCTGATGGGCATGTCACCTCCCTCACTTCCACATTACAGACTGCACTTGAGTAGGGCCCATCTGAGCTGTTGGGATTTTCTACCACATCCTGAGGTGTCTAGAGGGGAAATCAGCTTGACTTCAGCCACAGAGCAGGAGCGGTGTAAGCTGCCAGGGCAAAAGGGCCTGTGTAAATGGAGGACCTCAGAAGTTGATGCCAAGAAGGAGTGCAGAAGCCAAAGCCACCAGGGAAAGCGGTGGGCAGCAAGCAGTGGAGAGAGCAAGCCCAACACGGAGGCAGGGGAGAGGTGTGGGCCCAGAGCCCAAAGCAAGTCTGTTGAAAAAAACCAACGGGAGCCCCAGGTAGATGAGAGCTTCTGAGGGGAGTCCAGACCACACCTCTGACTGCTCCTCGGAGCCCTTCTCACTTCACTCCCTTTCACGCAACAGGGGCTGGAAAGACAGGGAGATGCATAGGGGTTAATGGCATAATGTCAAAGTGGCCCTTGACTTGCAGGGGTCACACCAGATCTGAGCTGTTTGCACAGACCCCCAACCTTCAGTCCTCGCCCAAGTCACCACATCTTTTAGGGAAGCCGAAAGTCCCTCAGCCTGGTACACACCCCATCGCACCCCATCCCTCAGATGCCTAAGTGGCGAAGAACAGGCAAAACCTGCTCCAAGCAGTCAATTTGTCACCATGCACCTGCTAGAAAAGCTCCCATCCCACCAGACTAGCCCCAAAGCTGGGAAAGTAAAAGTTACGACACCCCTCATCATGCTCAAGGCCTTCCGTAGGGAAGATCAGTCCACACTTCCCCTCATGAAACCACAAGCATTTGGGGAGGGAGTAACCCCCCTCCTCTCCCCGTGGTCAGGCCCCTGGGAGCCCAGAGCCTGAGCAACTGCATCTGCTATGATGGCTGGGATGTGCTGGCCTGGCACCAGTGCCCCTCATCAGCTAACCTAACCCCACCTTCTAGCTACTTGGTTTCCCACCATGTTACTGGACTAGTCTTCCTGGTAAGACTCATGCCTTTCCTGGTGACCCTTCTCTAAACCCAGCCCTACCCCGATGTGGCATGGGAGACCAGGAGCCCATACCTGTCCTTCGGTCGTGATCCCTACTTCTGGGCGTTTCCAAGATGAAGCCTGAAGGATATAGAGGACCAGCAGCCAGAAGACCACCACCAGCATCCCAGTGCTGTTGGCAAAGACAGCCTCACCAGGCAGGCTGGAGTACGGCTTGGTGGCATTTTTCCTGAAGATAACGAAACAGTACGGGCCCTTGAGAGCCTTTTCCCCGTGTTTTTGCCCAGTGGGAGAACCAGTGCCACTAACAGAGGGTGAGAACACCTCCCGGAGCTGGGACTCAGAATGCTGACATACTTTCTAAGTCCCAGCCACAACAAATACCTGCAGAATGCTTTTTCCCTGCGAGGGAACTCTGTGCCTTGGGTCCCTCATTTGTAAGTCGCAATGAGGGATTGATGTTGTAGGGCAATTGGAAGATTAAATTTAAGGTGCTTAAAATAGTTTGACACACAGTAGGTGCCAAGCCAATCTGATGCCACAGAAATACCTGACCGATTTACCAATCTCAACCTAAAGAAAGACCATTGCCTTCCAGATCAGGAATGTCCCCAACTCCCAAGGCCCCCCTCCCTTGGAAGGGTCCTACGATCACAGGGCTCATTTTTTGGAGACCTGATTCTTTCCCCGCCACCTTAGAGTTGGAACTCCATCCCACTCACAAGCTGAAGAAAAGCTTCTCATTAATGCCGGAAATGACAGATGCAATGGCCAGAGAGAGGATGGAGGCTCCAAAGAAGACGTGGACAGGTTTAAGGAGGCTGCGCAGCCACATGGATGCCCAGGGCAGCAGGAAGACGGCAAAGCCCAGGAACCACTGTGGACACAGGGAGAAGCACCTGACCCACCTGTGTGTGACCAAAGGTGCCCCAAGTCATCCTACCCCACCAGTGAGCCTCCTACCTTCTTTCCTAACTCAAACCTCCCACCAGGAATTGCCCCAGCACCACAGAGCTTCCTCAATGTGGCCTGTCTGTTTCTCTTACACAAACAAGAACCTTTCATGAACTGCTGGGCTACAACCCCACTCTCCTGCAAACAGAGACATCCTTGTTTGTCTCTGCTTCCTTCAGTCCTGCCTCATAAAACTCCCGTGCTCAGAGCACTCTGGAACAACAGACGGGCAGTGTGATGGGTAAGAGCAAGAACAGGAGGACTGCAGGAACCACAAACCTCCCACAGCCTTTATACTGCCCATTCTACAGGGTGTGCCCTGCAAAGGCCATCTCCAGACAATGAGCAGAGGGAATATTTGGTGCTGATGCAAGTGAAGCCCCAACCAGAGCCCATGGCTGCCACCCAACAGTAGGAACCCAAAGGAGGGTGGAGAGCACCCACCTGGCAGGCGAAGATGACAACGGTGGTGATGCCCAACCAACTGTGCAGGGAGTAGAGGTTGGCAATATGGTTATCGTTGTGATATCTAAAGACGGCCACCAGCCCCAGCACGGTCAGGATGAAGGTCATCAGATGCAGGGATGCGTGGGTGATTTTCCAGGGCAGCTTGGGCCCCACCCATGACTGGGGCAGGCGGTACACCAGTGATGCTGCAGGAGAGAGCAGTCCCAGGGCTCGGCCTCCTCCGCTTGTGCTCACCACACATTAGGGGAATTACCCTGACATGGCCCCACACAGCCTCCCAAAGAGGGAAGAAGGAAATGCTAGGACACTGATATCTACTCATCAGTGTCTTCTATCCTTGCATCCTTTCTGGGACACCAGCCAGCCATGAAGGGAGAGGGAGAGTGATAAAAAGGGAGGAACAAGTTTCTTGGACCTGCCCTTCCGTCATTATCATAATAAAGTTGGCTTGCATGCAGTTTTGCAGGTTAAAAGCAATGTCACTCATTTCATCTAACTGAATTCTCACAATGAGCTCAGTTATCAAGAACACAGGCTATAAGGTTAGAAAACGTAGGTCCAAATCCTGGCTTTGCCTCTTAGCTACTTGGCATCTTCTTTCTAAATCTCAGTTTCCTCATCTGCAGAATAGGGATAACAATAGAGCCACCTCACAAGCTTCTTGTAAGAATGAAATGGAGTGATGTATCTCAAGTACACAGGGTAAGCTGCTATTAACAATGTCACTGTCATTCCCATTTTACAAGTGGGGGAAAGGAGGCTCTCCTGGGTCCAAGGCCCAGGTCTGAATGCATGGGGCAGATGGGTCTGGCAGGAGTAAGCAGATCCCTTATGTAAGGACCCACTGTGCCATCAGAGGCTTCAACCGCCTGTTCCGTAGAGCAGGGATGGCAAACTACAGCTCACGGGCCAAATCCAGCCCACCGCCTATTTCTGTAAATAAAACTTTATTGGAACACAGCCATTAATGTGTTTTCATGTTGTCTATGGCTACTATCACAATAGCAGAGTTGAGTAGTCACAACACATTATATGGCCTGCAAAGCCTCGAATATTTATTACCTGGCCTTTTATAGAAAAAGTTGGACACCCCTGCCCTGTGTAACTGTGAAGCTACCCTTCTCAGATTCCCCTATTCTCACTACTACTTCCTCCAAATGGCACCTGGGCTCAAAGACAGACCAACCCACCCAACCTCCATAGCCCTGAACCCAACAGTGACAAAGGCCTGTCCTGGAGAGGGACTGCACTGCTCCATCCAGGCCTGGGCTGTGGCGCATCTCCCATGCCGACCTCATACTCACCAGCACCGTAGACCACCACCATGCCAGCAACCATGAGCACCGGGTGATAGTTGAACATGTGTATGCTGCCATCCCAGGCAAAGCCACCGTGCCAGTTCCACATCCAATAGATGGTAAAGAGGATACACATCGAGCCCAAGGATGACAGCGCCAGGACAGACAGGTAAAACCTTCCCACAGCCATTCTGGTCAGGCACTCCTAGAAGCAGCAGCAATCACATGTCCCTGCTGGCTCAGGTCCACCCCACACACCAGATAAAGACCTTGCTCTTGGTCTGAAGGGTAGACAGTTTTTGTTTTGGTTCCCCTACCAGGGCACCACCCCATGAGGCCTTGACGGTTGGGTGGACCTGATCTCTAGTTAGGGCTGGTGACTGAGGCCCCACCCCAGTCAGCATACAGTACACCCAGTCAGGCCTGGGGCTGGCCCTGAGAGGTCTCCTCTGATGTGGCCAGATGCCAAGGCTCTGGGCCCAGAGCCCTGGGATTAGTCTCCCCTCATAGGACCAGAAGGTAAAGAATTACCTTCTCACAGAAAAGAGATGGGAATCAAACTCTAGGCTAGATCGCACAACTGCCCAGGCCCTCACTTCTAACATCAGGAGGCAAAATCATAATCAACAAGGAGCAAACATACTCCTATTAGGCCGGCCGGGGGAAGTACTCTGGGCCCCCACTTGAGAAAAGTTCTTCCCCAGATGGTGAAGTCTGTGGGGCCAGTCCTCCCAGGGGGATTGGTAAGAGTCCCACACTCTACACCTTGAAATGGGTGATGGCCCTCAACTAGTCCCAGACCTGAGACTTCTGCTTTCTCTTCCTCTTAGGAAAGTCCAAAGGAGAAAAGAGGAAGCAAGAAGTCATGGTCTAGAAAGCAAGAATTTACAGTACACCCCCACTTAGTGTCATGGATAAGTTCTTGCAACTGTGGTGAAATGACGTACAATGAAACCAGTTTTACCACAGGCTAAATGTTATAAACAAGAAAGTTCCTACAGCATCTCATCAATGTTAAATGAAACGATGTTATTCGGGGACCTACTGTGTTTTGAGATTTCCACGTGTACCTGATAAACTCAGAAACCAGCTCTGTTTTCAGGCATGGAGAATGCGAGGCCCTAAGCAGCTGCTCTTAAAAGCCAGGCAAGTGGGCGTGAGGGTTATCAAGCAAGTGCACAAAACCAAGGACAGCCACTGCTTTCGGCTAATGTGTCAGGGGCATGGGCCCAGGGCTCAAGACAGTTATACCATCCCATGGACTGACACCAAGAAAGCAACACTGTGGCTTCCTGCAGCTGAGGTTTCTGGATCTGAAGCAGCTAACAGAGAGGAGGCCCCTAAAGTAGCCAAGAACTCCCAAGGAGGTAAACACTTGCTTCCTTACCTTTAGGCCTAGTGGCAGGCTGATGGAGTGGTGGCCTGGGCTCTAATTCTTATGAAGAGAGGCACCTTGAGCAGATCACTTACCACTTGTAGGGCTATCTTTTCAGCTGGAAGAAAGGCATGGCAGTAAGAATATAATTCAAAGGAAGGCAGCTATGAGCAGACACCACGCTGGAACCTTACGCACATGATGCCATTGACTCCTCTTAACAACCCTGTGAGGAGTTCTCATCCCCATTTTATGGATGAGAAAACTAAGGCTCGGAAGGATTAGGTAGCTGGCATTAAGATCCAGTAAGTGGGTGAAGAGTTTCAAATCCTTATCTGTTTGGCTTCAGGGCCCATGTTTTTCCCTTGACCACAGGTTGTCAGAAGGTCAAGTGAGAAAATGTAAGGACACTATGAAAGTCAAGTGTCATACTTTTCTTAGTATTGTCGCATTTCATCCTACTAACAAAAACCTGAAGATCATGGCCCCTGTACCTGCCCAGGCCTCTCAGTGGCCCTGACTCTATGCCAGGCCAGCTCTCTCTATGCCAGGTACTCACCTAACCAGAAACAAGACACTGAGCTCTCACGTGGTGATCCAAATTGGCAATAATCTCTGATAAAGGAAGATCTGAGGTCTTGTAAGGCTGGAAGGAGAAAATTATGCCACCAGCTTCCTAGAAGCTTTGTGACTCAATTACTGAGCTCAGAGCTGTCCCCTTAGTTCCTGCACGAGCAGAGGAAGTTTTAGGTCACCAGATGTTCAATTACCGCCCCAATTCCAGTGAAGTGTTCAATCAGCATGAAGGACCTCTTGGTTAATAGGCTCCATCCATCAAACAATATCTACTTTCAGCATTTTTTCCTTTGTTAAAGGAAAAAAGAAAATATAATCCAAAAGAGACCGTATCCACTCCCCTGGAAGAGGTCCTGGATCACTGGGACGGACTTGGAACAGACAACGGGGACTTTCCCGACAGAAGGCTGTCAGTACAAAGTACACAGATGAGCCCTCCCTCTGCCTGAAATAGAAAGCCAAAGCAGAGAAAAAGGAAGAATGCTGTGAAAATTGCAATCCAAATGCTAAGAATATCTTCTCATTTACTCTGAGAGCAGGTTGTGCTCACCATGGTGTGGTCTTGCATTCTGCCCTAGCTTTACGGGGCCTATTCTAAGACACAAGTCCGAAAACTCTTCTGTGAAGGGCCAGGATGGTAAATATTTTAGTCTTTGCAGGCCATCCAGTCCCTGTCACAACTATGTCATCGACTCTGCTGATGTAGTGCAAGAGCAGTCAGATTAATACCTTCACAAATGAATATAGCAGTATTTCAAAGAAACTTTATTTACGGACACTGAAATTTTAGTTTCATATCATTTTCACGTCACAAAATATTACCCTTTTCATTTCTGTTCAATCATTTAAAAATGGTTGAAAAATCATTCAGGAGAGCCAGATTTGGCCTGTGGGTGAAGTCTGTTGACCCTGATTTAAGAAGTCCACTCTCCAACCTAATACTCTCCTCAGTCACCTTGGCAGAAAGGATTCTCCCAGGCTGCATGAAAACAGATCAGGCCCTGGGGTAGGAAATGGGTACAGGCATACCTCAGAGATAGTGTGGGTTTGGTTCCAGACCATTGCAGTAAAGTACAGCGAGTATGGCAATAAAGCCAGTTGTAATCTTTTTGCTGGTAGAGGGTCTTGCCTTCCTTTGTTTAAAAAAAAAAAAAAAAAATGCAACAGCTGTGAAGTACAACAAAGCTAGTGCGACAAAGGGAGATATGTCTGTATTTCCCATTCAGCCCTTAGACTTAGAAAAAGGCTCTATTTCAAACTCTTACAATGTTACTTTTATAACTTAGAACTACAAATAGATGAAAGAACAAAGTCATTTTGTTGTTCTTTGTTCCCAGATGAATAGCAGGGGCTTTAGGAATCCAGAATCTCTAGTCCTAAACTCAAAAATACTGGGCTCAGCATGCTCTCCTTGGAGCATGCCCACACCCCTCCTTTTCTCGAATGTACTTTTGCTCTCTAAACTCTAAGTGTCCCCACAAGACTTGCAACGGTAAGAGCAGTGGCGGCAGCAGCTTGTCCCGGGCTCACCCCCTGAACTTGTCTCCAAGGCCCCCTTTTCTCTGACTTTTCAGTGAGCTAAAGGCAGCCCCACCTTGGCCCACTTCTGCCACTGCGACTTAGTTCTCAGTGAGGCCATCCACGCAGCTCCACATGGCTCCTTTCTTTCCTATAAAGTTTCTAGCCAGCCAAAGCAGCACAGCCTAGGCTCTCCTGCTGCTTCTATCCTAAGCCCTTCCTTTGTTTCACTGTCCCTACCTTTAATAAACGTATTCTCAAAAAACAAAACCAAACCAAAAAAACTGGGCTCAAAGAAATGTAACTTGGCCAAGGTGAGCAGCTGAGCCGATACAGGAATCCCCGTGCACTCCTCCTCAGCGCCAAGAACTCACTTCCCAGGGCAGCTCCGGTCAAGTCGGCGCTCAGGTGTGAGGGGCCCTAAGTTCCACTCGGGAGGTAGGTAGCGGAGCCCTCCTCCGCGCCAGAGTGACTGCAGACCTGCCCCTGGACGACTCAGGTGCCCGGAGAACTATTCCAGGAACGCCGGGACCAATCCCTGCCTCCTCTGCTGGGACCAGGAGGTTCCAGCTAACCTTGGGTGACAATTAAGGCGGGGGTTCCACCTGCTGACTGCGACTTAAGAGATTCCGTGTCTCCACAACCACCACCGGTGGAAGGAAGGGCACGGGGAACGGTGTCCACTTCCTAAACGAGGAAACTCAGGCCGAGCGAGAGGGCGCGACAGTGCGAAGCGAAGTAGCAGCGGAGGCAGCACTCGAACCCAGATCCCAGAACTCCCAGCCCGGGCTCTTTCTCACCCCTGAACCACAGTGGGACGGACGCAGCGGGGCTTGGGGTCTCCGCGACCCGCCTCTGCCGCCCGGCGCCGTCCTCCAGGTTCCTAGGTGAATTGAGTCACAGGCCACCTGACAGACCCGCACGCACCTGCCACCGCCGCCCTAGAATAAACGTGCGGGGCCGCTCCGCCCTTTTATAGGCTCGCAACACTTCCGGTCGGGCGCGCGGCAGCCTGGGAAATGAAGTCCGGAGTCCCGGCTCCTTGCGCGCTAAGCATTGATTCCAACCTCACTTCCTCCGCGGGCGTTTTTTCCGCAAGCCAGGGGCCCTGGAGGCCAGCAAAGCCGATACGGGCCTGCCCTGTCCCTCATCCCCCATCCTGTGGAAGCGGAAATGTTCGGGCCACGCGGAGCCCCTCGTCAGAGGCTGGCCGTCAGCCAGGCCGCAAGCTGAGCGGGCAGGAGGCCTCGGTGGGCGGCTGCGGGGGCCCGAAAAGGGGCGGGCCCAGGAAAGCGGGGGCCCAAACATGGCGGCCCGACCTCCCAC